GGGGACTGGGCACTGCTTAAAAATCTAGACCTCCATGAACAGTTCACATAGAGCCCTGAAACAGTATGTATCTATATCCCCTGGAATGTTTGAGGGTCCCTGTCCAGCTCTGGTTCTTTTGTGTATTTGTTGTTTTATCCTTGACTCCTGTGTAGGTGTTTTGGTACAATCTTGGCAATCTCATCTCATCTGCTCTGTCATTGCACTCCACACCAACATGAGCAGGATCCCAACAAAACTGTACATCAGTTCCACCTCTTTGTATCCTTTAACATTATCATATTAATTTCCATCAATAAATCATCTCTTATTGTTTCCTTTGAGTTCAAACTATTAAGAGCTGCAGTAGAGTCAGAGAAAGGACAACTCTCTCTGGCCTTATTCTTCTATCCATTGTAGTCCTAAAATGATTGCAGTTATTTCTGTTGTAAATACAGATCATCTATCACTAATTCTTTTTGGTTCCTACACATCCACTTCCTGGATCTTTGGATCCACCAGTTAATATTGTCAAGTAGTTGTAATAATTCCTCTCTACATAATCTTGTACCAAATATCTAATATCCACATTATTTTAAACCCATTCTCTCTTCTGCGCCACAAGTTTTAAGTTTATTTTTGGTACTGGTAATATCCATGGAGGAACATTACCCCACACAGTATTTGGTCCATACTCTAACCTATTTAACCCATAGTCTTCTACAACTGTATTAATGTTCCCACCAAATCCTCAATTTTCTTTGCTTTGAATATTCCCAACAACCGCACAGCACCTCTGCTGCAGGTTGTTCCTCTCCAGATCCCTTTAAGTTAACCCAATATGCCAGAGACATCCTCGAACTTCACTCCTCGTGCAGAATTAAACGCTTTGGGACGTCCTGCAAGATGGTGGACCGGAACAACTTTTGGTTCAATCGAGATAAGAGAACCACAAAATAAGAAAAAGAAATGAATAAGGTACAATACATCCATTTCAGCGGTTGGTTTATACATCTGGCCCCAGATTCACACACCTCAGGAGCAATTTGGGATTCTTTATCTTGCTCAAGGACACTTCGACATGCGGCAGAGAGGAGTCCTCAATCGAATCAACAACCTTCCAATTAGTGGACGACCCGCTCTTCCTCTGTTCATATGGAGCTGTCAGCAGTGAAGTACATGGCTGTTATCACAATACTGAGCCATATAACAGTCCCACTGTCCCTGCTTTTGGTCTGTCTGATTGGTCAGTCCTTAGACAAATGGAGTCCTTAGAGAATAGAGATATCAGAGAACCAAAATGTGTTAGACAACCTACACACATCAGCTGACAGCTCTCACTTCTTCCCTGCTACTGACTGCAGCCACTTTTACTTCCTGACTGTTTGGAGGGCTTCCTGAAACAAATGTTCACATTCAGAGCAGTTAGTCAAAGCAAGGTGACTTTATTTGTACAGCAAATACATTAGAAAGTATAAAAGCACAATACAAAGCAAAGTATAATAAAAAATAATAGGTTCGAAAAAAAAATATTACAAAAATAAGGTCCTACCCTCTCCTACACAAGAAAACACTGAAGGCACATAACATTACTACAGTGTAAAAGCATAGCATATCATATCAGTGGTTAATATCAGTGATCTTCCTGTATAAAAGTAGCAATACAACAATGTTAACGTAGTACAAGTACAAATCCTGTATTCAAAATGTTGCTAAAGAAATAGTACAAAAGTATAGGTAAAATAGGATCCATTAGGATTAAAATAATTCATCAACATTTATGTTATTTTTAATAATAATAATAATACATTTTATTTATAAGCGCTTTTCTAAATACTCAAAGACACTTTACATAAAAACATAAAAGCAGCATGGAAAAAAGTCCCATGGAAAAACAAAACTAGACATTAGTCCATCTCTAAATACTGTCTGTGGCTCTCAGCGCCAGGCCCATTGGTTCCTACTGAAGACACAAATCTTTATAAATAGCTCACAAATAGTACTTTCATTTTTAAAAAGTCTCAATAATTTCAGTAACTGCTTATTGTAGTTTTTAATCAAACATTACTCTATCAGATGGAATTGAGAACATTTTCCACTCTTCAGTTTTCAATCTAAAAAAACAAAAGAGTGACCATTATTGTTGCAGATGCCAGGTAGCACTGAGCTCATGTTGCCACTGAGGAATTCTAATATTTTTCACAACACAAACTGAGTCATCTACCTCCAGGACTGGAGACTGTAGGCGGGAAAAAGAAGAAATAAAAGACATTAAAACAAACTCAGGTGCAGCCTGTTGTGTGAAACATTGTGAGACATTAACTTAAAAATGAGTACTTAAAATAAATTCAGACCTACCAGAGTCCTTTTTCATTGTTAGCCTGCCTGAAATCCAAAAGCAAGACACAATTAATAGCTTTAGCAGTTAGCGACCATCCTGGAGGCAGACAACAATGGGAATCGGTAGGTATTAGGTAGTTATATCAGGGATTCAAAATAAGCCCTAACCTGTGGTCACAAGTCCAGCAACTGTTAAAAACGATAATAATAGAGGTATATATGCATAATAATTCCTTGAAGAACTTCCAGAGACAACGTCACTGCTCATACTTCCTTCTTTGACCCTTACTTGGGTTTTTGGACAGCTGTTGGAAAAGAGACATAAAACAGCTTCAGTCAGCACAATACAGAGAATATATATTAAACATGTTCCATTATAACTTGTTCCACTGCAGAATGTGCAGCCATAAAACTCAACTGCTTATCAACAATCCAATCAGTGCACAACTACAGAGGTCACTTTGTGCTCCATGACAAACAATGTCTTACACAGTCCAAGCCGTGCAGTCCACACCATCCTGTGAAAAACTTCCTGGCTGACAAACTTCACACACTGTATCATTTCTGCTGGTTCCTAAGAGAAACAGACAGGAGTGAGATTAATTACACACAAAGAAAGATCCAGTGAAAATCCATTATTTCACACATTTCACAAATCAAAATCAAAGACGCAAGAGACGCGTTTACTGACAGAACCAGAATCATTTTTTTGACTAACGACTAACCTTATACTGGAAGCAAATCAACACAGTAAGTGAACACATGCTGGTCCTGCAGAAACAAAGATGGGCTGACAGCACAGAAATAACTCATTTTCCCACATACCTGTTATGTTCCAACCAGCTCTCGTTTTACCATATGCTGCTTTCATCCTGCACCTCTACCCACCTCTCTAGTGTTCAAAGTACTCAAAGTACTGCACGCACAGTCACACACACTTAGAGCGCGGTATCAAGAGAAATGTATGCTTCAGTAACTTGTGCAAGGACAACTCAACATGCAGTGGGAGGAGCTGCGGATCGACCAGCAACCTTCTGATTAGCAAACGACCCACTCTACCTCCTGAGTCACAGCCACAGTAGGCTTCCTCTGTTCCAGCTGTCCATTGAGGAGCAGCAGTCTCCCTTTGTTTTGATTATTAAGTTTTAGATATGTACATGTGCGCCCATCCAGGGGAGAAGTCGCCGCCCCCACCTGAGCCCCACCGCACCACCACAGGGCCACACAGGGAGCCACTGCCCACAACCTCCCCTAGCCAAGCCCCTCTTCCCATCATTATCAATTACCTATATATCGCTTTCCATATATATATATACACTCATACACATATGATATAAATAGTAGTAATAATAATAGTGTTAAGACTATTACTACTAGTAATACATTTTTTTGTATGCATAATACAATCAAATAAAAATGAATAATGAGAGAAACCAGAAAGAAGGAGAAAAAAAACAAACAAACCAAGAATCAGAATCAGGTTTATTGTCAAGTAAGATTTCACATACAAAGAATTTGCCTGGTGCGTAGGAATCACAGTGAAGTGTAGAAAAAATATAAAAAAATATAAAAAGATTTTTAATTAATACATTAATACTGCTATAGCAATAACAGTATTAAAGTTAATAATAATAGAGTGACAGTAATTATAATATTAACTGCTAAGATCAATAATACGAATATTGACAACAACAACGATTGGAAAGAGAAAAATAGGAATTGTAGAGAAGGAGGAATGTCAGAGTGGGATCGAGGGAGGGCGGTGTGTGTGTGTGTGTGTGTGTGTGTGTGTGTGTGTGATGGTAATTGGCAAATATGTATATGTGTGAATGATAGAATGTAGGATTATTGGAGATGGTGGACAGGCAAAAAGGCATGACTGAAATCAGTTGAAATTAAGAATTTAGTGTACAGATGAATGGTTCTAAGTCAACAGTTTGTTTAGTTTATTTTATGTCTGTTAAATTGTTGATTGTTTATTTTATGTCTTGTTGTTTGTTTATACCCAAGATGTGAAACTGAATTGTTTTCTGTCCATTAAGATAGCTGAGTTATTCCAGATAGGAGCAGGTTTGTTAGGTGTGATTATGGTGTGAGTTATTTAGTGAAATTTCACCAGGCTGTCAGAGTTGTGGCTATAGTAGGGTTTTTAAAACAAGGATGTTGTGTGTAATTGAGCGGGTCATGAAAGGTAAGTTTGAGATATGGATTTCTTTACATATTGTTTCTTCTATGTCTGTCCAGGAGCTGTCCGATTGGTTGGGGTTAGTCCATTTGTAAATATATTGCAGCTGATTGGCGATAAAGTGAAGACAATTTCAAAACAAGTAAAAGAATCTTAAATTAGTTCTGTATTTTATTGGTTGCCAGTGAAGAAATGCTAGCAGAGGAGAGATATGATCTCTCTTCTTGGTCCCAGTGAGGAGTCTTGCTGCTACATTTTGAACGTTCTGCAGGCGAGATGGGACTGACTGACTGATTCCTACAGAGAGAAAACAGCAGTATTCAAGACGAGAGGAAATAAAAGCGTGAACTATAGTCTCCCAATCTTTAACAAACAGGAATGATTTGAAATTCCGAAGTGATCTAAGATAGAAGTGGTCAGTGCTGACAACTGAGTTCTTTCTTAAATCTGAAAGCAGAATCAAAGCAAATGGGTGTCATTGGCATAACAATGGTAGGACAAATATTTTATGAAAATAGACCCCAAAGAAAGTATATAATAGGGAAATAAAATAGGGCCTTATTGACCCAATATTCTCAACTCAACTGCCATTTACAAAGTTAGAAAAGAAAAAACTAAGCTTGGCAGGAATGCAGGAGAACAAAGTGTTAATGGAAGTGAATTACAGAATTAAAGAGTGCAATTTCCTGAATCTGAAGACAAGAACAAATCATTTGTCACCCTAAAGAGAGCAGACTCTGTGCTCTTATGCATTCTCAAACCGCACTGAGTATTCAGTATGCTGAATTTGTCCAAAAAGGAGATGAGCTGAGAGAATCTTTTTTTTTTTTTTTTTTAAAAAGGGGGAAATGAGATAGGTCAGTAATTACAACAGGAATAGTTGAGTGTGGAAAAATGTATTACTGTATTGGTCAATCTCAGGAACAAGGTCAACATATTATCATGACCTCCAGTCTGCTCACCTGAGTCTGAAGGACAATGAGGTCCTCCCAGGTCAACTGACCATGTCATCGTATTAAACATTCCTCTGTATCCATACAGTTCTCCCACTGATTATTTGAGCAGAGGGTGATTGGCGTTTAGAGCAAGCTGGGGCATAGGCATCGACCAGAGAGCTATTAATTATTGATAAAATACTAGACCCAACAGTGTCCAGCACCTCTAAGTAGACATGAGGGAATAATGTTTAAGGGGCATGCACTAGAGTTCACATGTGAGATAATATGAGGAGATAGAAATTTGAATTGAGGATCTAAACGGATCATAGGAGGGCCGTGAGATCTCACATTTTGCTAATAAAGAATCTTACCTATCACAGGTATTCAGTGTCTTCAGTACAATTATGACTGCAGAGTTGAATACTGAACCTATTGTATTAAATAGAACTTTGGGTCTATGGGCATGTTTGAAGATGATATTAGAAATGTATTTAGCCAAACAGTATCTCTGATTCTGGGTAAGACACTTGGACACTTTTTCCCATATTTGCTCTGTTCTCCTGCATTCCTGCAAGTGCTAAGTTACGGAGCTAATCGAGGGATGAGCTTTGAGTTTTGTTTTTCTAACTGTGTAAGGGGCAATTAATTCAAGAATATTTGTCAAAGTGTAATTAAATATTATAACCAATTCTTGGGCTTTAATGAGAGCAGAGGAAAAGGAATTTGAGGCCTGCCTGGTACTCAGAGAGGAAATAGAGGGTCTGGGGGGGAAGTAACATTGAGAACATAATGGGCCTATGATCACATAAACTGACATTGTTAATCAGGGACAAAAAGTCAGACAATTCTTTCATAAAAACCTTGTTAAATTTTGGGGCTCTGTATAAAAGTTGACGAAGTACTGGAGTGGATTGTTCAGTCTCACAAAGCAGTAATTCGAACCTTTTATATTTGTCAGTCAACATGAGTGACCCCAAAAAAATGGGATGGATACCATCCATTTTTAAAAAATCTTGGTGTGTCCAGAAGAGATTCAAATTGTCCACCAGGTTTTTTGATTGAATTAAAGTATTTAAACTCAGCAATCGATGAAGTCGTCCCATGCCTCGTTTGATTGCGGGGAGCGGATCAGAGATTAGAACACACGTGCTGGAATGATTAACCTGCTTTAGTAGCTCCGACTGCTGAAGGGGAATGTTGTTTCTACCGACATGGATAACTACAGCTTCTGCATGGGGATCACTGTTTAGAATAGTCATGAGTTTATCTGTTAGAAATCGACCCTTTGCACCTGGGAACCAAACGGTTTTGGCCAATCTCTTCTTAACGTCTGAGACGATGGAGTCCGTTACTATCAAGGTAGAAGCAGAAGGCAGCTGAGAAGCAGGAACGTGTTCCCTGGAGTTCTCGTTCGGTGAACATCTGGAACAGGGGCGAGGAAGTACTGGATCCTCCCTGGTTAACCAGTTCCGCAGCAACATCCCTGGCAGACGGTTAGGAGAGAGTTCTGGAGGTGAGGAGATGAAGATACAGAGTTCCTCCAGGACAGTAAACCTGTTGCTCAGCTCTGAGCCAGGTGGAGGGGGACAGAGTGTGTCTCCATTTCTGTTCTGAATGAGGGTCCAGTGACCTACAGACAAAGGAGTTGAACAGCAACAATTTTTTTTTTTAAAGGCATTAGAGAGTGTAGCTCAGTTTATTTATTACATTTATATGAAGAATACACTGCTGTCTTACCTGCTGCTGTGGACATCTGTCTGAAACCATTACTGATGTTTCTTCTACCTAAATAATCATACAAGTGACATCATTTCATTAGTTAGAAAAAATATTTCCTCCTAACTACTGTACATAAAGTAGACTCAGTAATAACAGTAAAGAGAGTATAAAACATACCGGATTGGGATTCTCTACATTTTTTCTTCTTTTTGTAATACAACCTAACCAATGAAAAACAACTCAATCAACAACTTAATGATGTGACACACAACATTATTACCCATCAAAAACATTATAGTGTTTTTGTTTAAATGAAAAATCATACTTATGTTTAGACATCCTTTCTTCCACAATACAAATGCAGCTCCTCCAATGAATGTAAAAAGCAAAACCACCAAAACAACACCGACCACAATCCCTGTTGGGTTTGAACTTTGTTCTCCACATTGAGCATCAGTTGAAACAGTTCCTGCTTTTATCAGAAGATTTGTTGATTCACATCTGGAATGACAGAGGGAGATTTTTTACAGGAACATTAGTAGGATCCAATGAATTCACTGCTGTTGGAAGAATCCAGGTGTCTGATGTGAAGCTTCACTTACTGTGTGTGTGGCTGACAGGATGGAAATGTTCCATTTGAATATGTTCCAGCACTGCAGTCAGAGCACTCAGTGTCTGTTAATGCTGTTCCTGTACAGACACAAACCAGTTCAACAGAGACATTATGAAGGGATCAAAGTGTTAGATGAATCAGTACAGAGAGGGTCCATACTGGGTTGGTCAACAGCTGGTTGGAACAGCCAGTTGTCATTGGGGTTAGTTTCCTTGAACTTTGGCATTCTCTTTCAAAACTTACCTTTAATCTGAAAGTGAGGAAAGCTAGCTCTCTCTCTCTCCTAGAACTTTAAAAATGCAGCAGAGAGAATCATATAGGTGGCTATAGATTGTGTGACACAAGAGGTAACACTATCCACTGGAGCTTTTACAGTCACTAGAAGCACATTCATAGCCATGTGTAAAGGTATCTGTGTTGTAATGTCAGCTAAGCCAGTGGTTCAAGAGGCCAGCTCTGGGACAGTGTAGGCTTCAGCTATGTAGCAGGCCATAGTATGCAGAGTTGCAACAGGTTTTATAGGAGTAGGGGGGGTATGTAGAATTCAAATACTTTGCACTAAGATGTCAATATGTGGACCTGTATCAATCAACAACACTACTTAATACTCATATACACAGGTTTTTTATACAAGGTTTAGTTGTTAAGTCAGCACAAGTAAACCCACCTTTCTGACTGATGTATTGTCCTGGTTGACAGAGTGTGTGTCTCTGTACTGACATACAGCCGTCCTCTCTAGAGTCAAAACAGTAGAATCCCTCCAGTGGTTCACAAACTGTATCTGATGTTGTTGTACATGACTTCTTTATCTTCAAACCAGAACCTGTCAACACATACACAGGTTACACATGGAGACACAGAACTATTTTTAGTTTCATCAATACAAAAGCAGTAATGTGCAGCAACTCAACAAAATGAGTCTCTGCATCTTCACACCGACAACCAATCTTCAACAGTGTGGTCAGTTCTTCCACAGCATTAACAGTGGGACTTACAGTAATAAGCCTACTTACTGCCTTTAAATCTTAGTCACAGGTTTCTACTAATAACCAGGAAATATGAACAGAACTCTACCTGCATCACAGATTGTACAGGAGAAACATTGTGTCAGTCCTGTAGGCTGATTCATGAAGGTTCCCTCAGTGCAGGACAGACAGGAAGTACTCCTGAACTCTGTGCAATCTGTTTTAACTCGACTTCCTGTTGGAGAGAAAAACTATTCAATTTCAATGTTTCTATTAAAATGAAAGTGAAGTGCATGTTGTGAGCTTGGCAAAGTGACATATACTGCTGTCTACTACAGTGTCATTCTTCTTTCTACCACCAGATGAAGCTCAAGTTTAAAAAAATACATTTAAAACAATATATAAATGACAGCTTGTTGTTTTACTGTTGGAATAAAACTCCAGTCAGAGTCCTTCACAGATACATTTCACTGGTGAACATAAACAGCACCAACCATGGGAGTCAGACTGACTCCACTGATCTGCACACAGTGTCTGCACCTGGCAGTAGAACTAAAGACTCCATATGGAACTACCAAAGTGAAATATCCTTCAATATTCAACTGGATCTTACCAGGAAGACACTTAGGGCAGCATTCATTCCCTCTCTGATACTCTGATGGATGACATGGTAGTGCATGTCCTCTGAAGATATTCATCACAAGAATCTGTGAAGAGTAAGAAAGAGATTTTAGTTCAATCTTTGCAGGTGAGTTATAGCAGGAAGTCACTGTGTGGACTGACACATAAAATACAGAGCTGAAGTCTCAACAACATTCAGCTCAGGGTTGTCAGCAGGTGAGTCTGCATCTGTTACAGTGAAGGTACACCTCTCTTTATGTAACATTCTCTTTTTATGTATTTCCTTATTTTGCACTTTGCTTTGAAACGTGTGTTCAAAGACACATACACTATTTTCACACCCCAACACCCACATCATCCTACCACTGGAAAACACCTTCCTAGCTTCTTTCCAACCAGGACTATATGTGAAAACTGCTCCATCTGAACCTTTAGCTCATCTACTCTCTTCTCCTACAGAGGTTAAAGGCAGGACAGCTGCTCATCCCTCAGTAGAGCTGATGAAGACTCTGATGAAGAGCAATCTGATGTATGAATTGCTGCAAAGCAAATAAAAGCTGACTGTAATAACAAATGATTTTACCAGCAATGGTGCAGCTGTCAAAGGTTTTCTTCCAAACATCATTTTCTACTGCTGGATCACAGTTTTCATGGACTGAAGACGTCATCTCACTGAGAGTAAAATCCAAAAGGAGGACACCATCTGTAAACTGAAAGAACACATATTCATGTAGAGATCACAGATTAGAGATTACTGCTAAACAAATTAACTTGGCACCATTAATGTAAGATCACACACACATACACACTTCGATTTGTCCTTGAACACAACCACACACATAGAGAGGAAACTCAAACTTCCTGTTCCACATGATCCCTCTCTGACCAACACGGGTTTCATGACCAGCAGAACTTTTTGTTAGAACAAAGACCCTCATTCTTTCTGCCATGAAACTACACAAGCACACCTCATACCCTCCCACACAGACACACCCCATTAAACCACTGCAATGAACACCAGACATCTTAAACATTATGTTAATGAGAAACCTGATTAACACAGCCAGACTTGTGTTGTACAAACCGGATTGGTTTATGTCTGCTTTATGGCCTGCAAAAACGCTTTCAGTGACTGTATATGCATACAACTGGGTGAGAGCCCGACAAACCTCTGGCAACAGTGGCAGCAACCTTCCCGATATAGACAAGCCTTATGACTTCCATATATCTGTTTGAGGTAAATAAGACTCTTAAGGACAAGCTCTAGAAAATGGTCTTCTTTCTTACGTAACCGATAATCTTGATCTAGCTCGGCAATAAGAGTTCTAGCGTTGCCCAAACAACACACACCCACACAACAGGGTTCAACAGTGTTATATATGGAATGTGTTACCTTCTTTAAAGAAAATATAGCAGAAAAACAAGTACTCACTGTTTCGCTACGACACTGGGGCTGAAACAGGAATGAACTTAAATTTCACTTTCGACCTCTTTTGAAATAACTTTTTTCAAAATAAAAGCACGTCGTTTATTGCAGTCCTCTTTCTCCTGTCGGTCTGGTCTTCTAACAAACGGACTAAAGGGACTATAAAGTCTAATTGAACGATCTTCTGTAATCAGCACCCAACACAGTGAAGTCATCCAATGGTCAATCCCAATCTCCACGGAATGCGAGGGGCTCATCTCATCTTCATCCGTTTATCCGGGATCGGGTCGCGGGGGTAGCTGGTCCAGCAGAGGACCCCAAACTTCCTTTTCTCTGGCCACATCTGCCAACTCTGACTGGGGGATCCCTAAGCGGTCCCAGGCCAGTGTGGAGATATAATCTGTCCACCTGGTCCTCCGTCTGCCCCGTGGCCTCCTCTCAGCTGGACGTGCCGGGAACACCTGGACTGCGAGGGGCGTCCCCGATAAATCCGCGGGGTCTTAAGGCTGCCCCACTGTAATGTGGAGTGCATGAGGGTTCTCCCAGAGATCATAAAGTACAGCGGTAGTCGAGAAGAAAAAATCGTCTGTCCATTGTATATTCCTCTCTCCTCTGTGTCTCTCATCCTCTCCTCTCCTCTCCTCGCATCCCTCCCACCAGAGACGGGAGCACCCACCCCCTCTGTAATCTGATTGGCCACCCCGTATGCCCCCCACTGGTCATTGACTCGGGGTAATGTCAATCATAAATCAAATCAAAGCCGAAACCTTGTGTGTCTGCACTGTGTTACTACTAATATACTTACAACTGTAAGGTTTTCATCGCGGGGTCTGCAGCTTTTCGATGATGTTCACGTCGCGTAATTACGTCACGTCATAACGTTCCCATGGCAACAGGGGAAAATGGCTGCTCTTGAGTGAAGTAAACGCATTTTTCAACTTTCTGCTAAGATATATGTGACTTTTCTGCAACGAAAATGAATGGATTATGAAATCATGCAAGCCCCGCATATTTTGCGCGGAAATCAGTAATTTATGCGGTGAAAGTGCGGCGTCTTTGAGAAAAATGCGGCCCCCGCATAAATATGCGGACTTTGGCTGATTATGCATTGAATTATACGATCGCATAATCGTGTTTTTCTGGAGGGACTGGAATGAACTCGTGTAACTTCACCAGTCACAGACTTTTTTACAACGTGATGCTCCTAGGTGCACCGAGGTAAGAACAGAACTCTACAGCTTCTTTAAGACTGTCACAACAATGTTTTGCCAACTTCTGTTCCATTTGGGTCTAATTTGGTTCAGTTTGCATGGGAAACTGTTGTGACATGAATTGACAGTCAACAACAGAGTATCCTATCATTGTTGCCACTGTGATGTTGGTACAGTACAAATAACATGTTGCTGTGTTCACTGTAGAGAGCTAGAAGCACTAACTTGTTGCTAACTCTGTACAGCAAACCTGCTAGTGTTCTGTGTGTTACCACTTGGTAAGAGTACACCCAGCAGATTTAATGTGGCCAAGAAAAGCAAGATGAAAACAAACAGTGTGTAACTGTACAATATAAATTGAAGTGATGGCCCATATTGTAGTGGGCGATCAGTGGCAACTTTCATTTTTGTTACTTTTGGGCGGCCACCCCAGATTAATTGTTGTTACCCCCTGTGTCCCCCACCAGAAAATTCTCTGGACCCGCCCCTGCTTTGGATTCCACAGGTGTGGTGAATCCTGAATCAAGGCTCCACTGTGGAGAAGCAGAGGTGGTAAAGGAGGGAGGGAGACGCCGCATACTGGGACGCTTTCGGGAGCGAACTGCTGTATGGCACCTCTCCGGACTCGGAGGAGATCATGCTACCTTACAACAGGTGGGTAAGTGTTCCCCGAGGTATGTTGTCATGGCAATTTACTCTCCATGTGTAAACTGCTGAGCAGGTTATCTTCGTGGTTAACTGCATGTGGCCCTATAAACCTCCTCTCTCACATATTGTGAGAGGCTCACACAGTGGCGGTTATATCTTGAATGACACCCTGGGCGAGACCCCTTCGAGCGATTACCTATTTTTGTTAGCCATTTCACACAATTCAGAAAAACAAAAATGTGCATGCACTATAGGCCTGTATTTATTATATTGTGATTGAAATGTTCGTTATTTAGAAGAAAGTCGAGGTGTGACTGACTTACAGTGGATCCCCTGTCCCCCCCTTGTCTGTTCCATTAGTGAGACCCAGAGGTGAACTGTCCCCCCTCCCCCTTCCCCTTCTCACACAGCTTCGGTGCAAGGCACCTTCTCGGCAAGCAGGGGCGCTTGCAGCTGTAGGGGGCACCAATTTGCCAATTCCCCCCACAGTGATATAATAGAACAGATAGATAATAGAAAACCTCTTCGTGGCGCAGAGGATTTTTTTTTGGTAAGTGCTTGTTAAGTGCTCGTGCCCTTAAAAGATTGCGGCGACTGGCTGCAAGACACAGGCAAAATGCGCAGGGAAAATGTCTAGCTGTTGCCTGATCCAAGAGCTGATTGGATCTTTGCTTCAACCACAAACACCATGTTTTATATAAAATCCTGAAGTACTGTGTGATTGTGATATTCAACACTAGATTGTAGGCTCTTCCTTATTATGTGCAATGAAAGTTTAATCTGTTAACAAACGCATCTTGTCTGGTTGATGACAAAGTTTATTTGTATCTGAACGTGGTCAGCAAACTACAGAAACTCTACAGAGCTAACTGATGCAAACACTTCTGCGAATATATATATATATATATACACACACACACTGTCAATAGTGTATACCTGTATATTCTTCAAAGTCAAACTGTCATCATTCACACAGCTACACATTCACATCGCACCGCTGTCCCAATGCATTTCTCAACCCCACTTTAGAGAATTGTACAGCAAGAGTTCATCTCATTCCACATTCCTACAGACTGTCACTTACCTCCCACCCACTGAGTGATTAGTCAAGTGCCAGGGAAACTGAAAAATAAATACAAATTCTATCTCACATTTGCAGGTGACATTAGTCAAGTAGTATTTTGGTTGTATTGGAACTAATTAATTACATATTTTACAGTAAAGTAAAAGTGCTTTGGCAGTGTTATATATCTGAATAACACAAAATACAAAGTCATTATTTGATATGTATCTGCACAATGTAAGGACATATAGTAGGTAAGAAAAATTCAAACTCCAACTTCATTCTATAAAAAGCATAAAGCATGAGTTGGTATGTCCCAACTCAGTATTTACATGTCAATATTCATTTACATTTTCAGTGCCACTAATTGCTAAGCTTTCATTAATAATCAAAGTATCACAACTGTAGATGCCAAGTTACAGTTATGATTAAAAGAAAAGCAGTCCTGAGCTTTTATTTTGAAGGGTGAGTTTCATGGCTTCATGGGTGACGCCTTATTTATACTTTCAGTTGGCCTGACTGGTAATCCCCTTGTCTTGCTTTGTTTCTTTGTGGTCTGATTGCGATAGCTCTGTACATGAATCTTCTGTGTTGGCTGTTTCTAATGAAAAGTATGTGGAAGAGCAAATGTTATCTTGAATATACAGACACTGGTGTCGTCAGCAGAATTATGCTGATAACATGTTGGCTGAGGGTACTTGTGTGAGTTATATAATGTACTGTATATAAAGGCTGTTTCAGATGTCAACACTGGAAGAGAATAAAGTTCAGACACTTCACTCTTCCCATACATGTTAGTATGGTTTTCTGTTCTAACCAAATAAAGGAAGTGTCGTGCTGAAAATGGATCAGCATGTGACTTCTTGTAAGTGACATTTCCTTCTGTCAGTTCTGGATACAAATGTTATTTTAACAAAACAACAGTGCTGACAAGCTCAAGCTGTGGCATGATTGTTGTGATCTTCACATGTGGTGGAAAAAATACTTTTTGGTAAAATTATGTGTTTCTGCACTGTCATGGTCAACGGACCTTGGCCTACTCTGCATGTGATGAGGTTTGCACAGTGTGGAATTTCAGTGAAGAATTTTCCACAAATAAAGAAGTATGCAATAGATTTTCCTGATTGTGGCACTAAAGCAACCTCAATATTAGATAATAAAAAAAAATAGATTTAACCTTGCAAAATGTATTCAGAAAAAAGATGAGTAAATTGTGATTTTTGTCCTGATGCAACAATGATTGATCTTGTTACTGTTGACATTTGACACAAAGCTTTTCTTCTGAGCTGTTACGAGAGTAAAGCCTGCAACTTGTTTCGCATCTCAACATTAACTGAAAATGAAAGGTTTAGTTCAAATGTCAAACAATTTTTAGTTCCAACATGAAACCAAAAGAAGGATATGGATATAGGGTATAGGGAGAAAATCAAATCTCAGTGGAGAGGTGCACCTTTATTAGACTTGTGGCCACCCAGAGTTAAACACCTTTAAATACGGAAGAAGATAACACCTTCCTACAATTCCAACAACATTTAAAAAGCTGCATGTTCACAAATACAAACGATCAAAATGATACGGCTGGTGTTAGGACTGGACCCAGGAGCAGACATCCTGACAGTTTGGAAGGTTTAAAGGGGTTTTATTCCACACGCACACACACACACACAGGGGCGATGAGGGGCAGCCACAGCAGCAACGGGCGGGTGAAACGGCGAAAGGGACCAGAGACACAGAGGCACAGGTGACCAGACACAGGAAGCTAAACTGCACAAAGGGACCCTGGGGTACAGGAGAGAAATGGTTAGCTGGGGAACAGGCACAGGGAAAATCTCAAGAAAGCTTGAATTGCTTAACTAAAGGGAGCCATGAGAGTTACCACCACATAGGCTGAACAATCTGGCGATGACTGGGAGGAAGACCGGGGTTCTTGAAGGCTGAGGCATGATGAATGATTGAGAGCAGAAGCAGGAGTAACTGTCACTACGTTACACTACTAACTTCACTTTGATCATTTTAATACAAAAATGTTTATGTATACACATTACAATGTCATTCACACAGGACCACAACTTAAGTAGATTTTGGAACAGTAGCTTCAAAAATACTGCAAAGTTAAAAACATAGAAGCAAGTTATTGCAAAAGATGAAAACAGGACAGTCACTTAGATGTTGATGTGCGTCCTTGTACAAGTGATAAATGTGCACACATACTATCAGAGGTAACAACAAAACTGTTCAAAGGAAAATCGTTCATCAAACCAGGTGCTGCAGCAAAAACACCCCTGCTCCCATTTATTTTGAATGTGGTTAGGCGAAGAAACCATGTGTCCCAACATGTTACAGTTCAGGACACATAGTACCCATCCAGTGGATACTTTGAGGGATGATCAAAGAGTTTTGATGTCTCCAGTCAGGATGCTTTCTATTGCTCCTCTGTAGAAGTTAATGACAACTTGGCACAGGCATTTTCTGAAGTTTCAGAAAGAAATGTAGTCCTTTCTGTTTTCCTCATGAGAGTGATGTGTAACATTACATGTTTCTGTTCTTTCTACATCACATTCCTTTGCATGTTGTTTATCAGGAACCTAAAAAAAAATAATGACATCATTTCATTAATTTTAAGAAAAATCATTACTCCTTACTATTGTACACAGAACAGTATACTCAGTAATAACAGTAAAGAGAGTATAAAACATACCAGGGTGGATATGTCTGCATTCATTCCTGTAATAAAACATAACCAATGAAAATTAAAAACGTAATGATGTGACACACAATATCATTATTTATCAAAAACATCACAGTGTTTTTTATGGTCTAAATGCAAATCATACCTGTGTTAAGACACCCTTTCTTCCTCCTGCAATGGTACAATACAAATACAGCTGCTCCAATTAATAAAAAAATCACTGCTCCTACAATAACAACACCGATCACAATCCCTGTTGGGTTTGAACTTTGTTCTCCACATTGAGCATCAGTTGAAACAGTTCCTGCTTTTATCAGCTGAAGATTCATTGATTCACATCTGGAATGACAGAGGGAGATTTTTTACAGGAACATTAGCAGGATCCAATGAATTCACTGCTGTTGGAAGAATCCAGATGTGAAGCTTCACTTACTGTGTGTGTGGCCGACAGGATGGAAATGTTCCATCTGAATATGTTCCAGCACTGCAGTCAGAGCACTCAGTGTCTGTTAATGCTGTTCCTGTACAGACACAAACCAGTTCAACAGAGACATTATGAAGGGATCAAAGTGTAAGATGACATCAGATGGCAGTTAGGGAGGGACTTGTCGTGGAAGCCAATAGCGCTGTGTGTCTCGTCCCTCAGTCCAACAGCTGTAGCGGACCCATTAGCTGAGTGGGACTGGGAGCTCCGAGTATGTATACAGCATGTGACACCCACAGAGGACAGTTTGACGACAGAGAATACAGTACCCAGGTGTTTTTTGACGGTTTCACCAGATAATATTTTCACCATAAAATAAGATCCAGTTTCACCAAAATCACTGATTAGGCTGTGTTTTTGTACAGTTATCAGTGAGGTTAGTATATATCCATGCTCCACTCCAGCAGAAAGCCATACTGTTGCTAGCTAGCTAACTAATGAATCTAAGCTATGTGTGGCTACTAGTTGAAGAATGATTGACAGGTGAATGTCATGATATTATTGGTTGAAATCGGTTTGTTCATTTTGTGTTACAGAAAGACAAAATGAGCAGATTTTGATATAAAAATACAAAGAAAACGTGTTTTTGTAAATTTGTTGGCCCACATGGTTAAATAGCGGTATAACTATACCGTAAAACTTCTAATATTAGCCCAGACATTTATTTGCTTAAATGACTGAACTCCCTCTGCCTTTATTGGGGACAGGCGTTTAATTCTTTTAGCACAAATCTCAGATGGAAAACCTCTCTAACTGTACTGCTTCTCTTGAGTTTCGTTAAGTAAATTTGACAACTTACAGTAAATTTTAGGTTGTTCATTTTTTTCTATGCCAGCGCCATGACACTTAAACAATGTATGTTTTACGGCAGCCGGCGTACAATCAGTGAGCAACCGACTTCACATGATAATATTCACAACTCGGATTAATTTTAATGAAAGCCTTTGATTCTTTTGATCAGTGGACCAGGTGGGTTTTAAGATGTTTTATACATTCAGATCAATTCTATAAAATCCAGACCAGGCTTTTAGGGGCGACCTGTGTCTATTAGGGACCTCACCCTGCTTTTATTGGAAGTTTCATGGGATATAACTGAAATGCAATCTTAAAAGGTTACAAACATTTGTAATTGCACAAGTCAGCACAAGTAAACCCACCTTTCTGTCTGATGTATTGTCCTGGTTGACAGAGTGTGTGTCTCTGTGCTGATACACAGCCGTCCTCTGTAGAGTGCAAACAGTAGAATCCCTCCAGTGGTTCACAAACTGTATCTGATGTTATTGTACATGACGTCTTTATCTTCAAACCAGAACCTGTCAACACATACACAGGTTACATATGGAGACACAGAACTATTTTTAGTTTCATCAATACAAAAGCAGTAATGTGCAGCAACTCAACAAAATGAGTCTCTGCATCTTCACACCGACAACCAATCTTCAACAGTGTGGTCAGTTCTTCCACAGCATTAACAGTGGGACTTGCAGTAATAAGCCTACTTACTGCCTTTAAATCTTAGTTACAAGTTTCTACTAATAACCAGGAAATATGAACAGAACTCTACCTGCATCACAGATTGTACAGGACAAACATTGTGTCCGTCCTGTAGGCTGATTCATGAAGGTTCCCTCAGTGCAGGACAGACAGGAAGTATTCCTGAACTCTGTGCAATCTGTTTTAACTCGACTTCCTGTTGGAGAGAAAAACTATTCAATTTCAATGTTTCTATTAAAATGAAAATGTATCATCTTGAGAGTAAAGTGCATGTTGTGAGCTTGGCAAAGTGACATACACTGCTGTCTACTACAGTGTCATTCTTCTTTCTACCACCAGATGAAGCTCAAGTTTAAAAAAATACATTTAAAACAATATATAAATGACAGCTTGTTGTTTTACTGTTGGAATAAAACTCCAGTCAGAGTCCTTCACAGATACATTTCACTGGTGAACATAAACAGCACCAACCATGGGAGTCAGACTGACTCCACTGATCTGCACACAGTGTCTGCACCTGGCAGTAGAACTAAAGACTCCATATGGAACTACCAAAGTGAAATATCCTTCAATATTCAACTGGATCTTACCATGAAGACACTTAGGACAGCATTCATTCCCTCTCTGATACTCTGATGGATGACATGGTAGTGCATGTCCTCTGAAGATATTCATCACAAGAATCTGTGAAGAGTAAGAAAGAGATTTTAGTTTAACCTTTTTTTTCCTTTTTTAAAGTATTTCTTGGGCTTTTGGGGCTTGCTCATGGTGGTACTGTTGGGTCTCTGTAATTAATGTTAAAGAGTTCGGTCTAGACCTGCTCTATTTGAAAAGTGTCCTGAGATAACTTCTGTTATGAATTGGCGCTATACAAATAAAATTGAATTGAATTGAATTGAATTTTTATTACCTTTATAATAGAGACAGCGGAAGAGAGACAGGAAAGGGGGGCAGAGAGAGGGAATGACACGCAGCAAAGGGCCACAGCTCGGATTCGAACTCTGGGCCGCTGCAGCAAGGACTCAGCCTTAAGATTTTAGTTCAACCTTTGCAGGTGAGTTATAGCAGGAAGTCACTGTGTGGACTGACACATAAAATACAGAGCTGAAGTCTCAACAACATTCAGCTCAGGGTTGTCAGCAGGTGAGTCTGCATCAGTTACAGTGAAGGTACACCAACATTCCCAGACAGATTTTTCCTCATCCCATCATTTATGAATTTCCTTATTTTGCACTTTGCTTTGAAAACTTTGAAACGTGTGTTCAAAGACACATACACTATTTTCACACCCACCCACCCACATCATCCTACCGCTGGAAAACACCTTCCTAGCTTCTTTCCAACCAGGACTATATGTGAAAACTGCTCCATCTGAACCTTTAGCTCATCTACTCTCTTCTCATAAAGGCAGGACAGCTGCTCATCCCTCAGTAGAGCTGATGAAGACTCTGATGAAGAGCAATCTGATGTATGAATTGCTGCAAAGCAAATAAAAGCTGACTGTAATAACAAATGATTTTACCAGCAATGGTGCAGCTGTCAAAGGTTTTCTTCCAAACATCATTTTATACTGCTGGATCACAGTTTTCATGGACTGAAGACGTCATCTCACTGAGAGAAGAATCCAAAAGGAGGACACCATCTGTAAACTGAAAGAACACATATTCATGTAGAGATCACAGATTAGAGATTACTGCTAAACAAATTAACTTGGCACCATTAATCTAAGATCACACACACATACACACTTCGATTTGTCCTTGAACACAACCACACACATAGAGAGGAAACTCAAACTTCCTGTTCCACATGACCCCTCTCTGACCAACACGGGTTTCATGACCAGCAGAACTTTTTGTTGTATGCATATATGCATACAACTGGGTGAGAGCCCGACAAACCTCTGGCAACAGTGGCAGCAACCTTCCCGATATAGACAAGCCTTATGACTTCCATATATCTGTTTGAGGTAAATAAGACTCTTAAGGACAAGCTCTAGAAAAGGGCCTTCTTTCTTACGTAACCGATAATCTTGATCTAGCTCGGCAATAAGAGTTCTAGCGTTGCCCAAACAACACACACCCACACAACAGGGTTCAACAGTGTTATATATGGAATGTGTTACCTTCTTTAAAGAAAATATAGCAGAAAAACAAGTACTCACTGTTTCGCTACGACACTGGGGCTGGAACAGGAATTAACTTAAATTTCACTTTCGACCTCTTTTGAAATAACTTTTTTTCAAAATAAAAGCACGCCGTTTATTGCAGTCCTCTTTCTCCTGTCGGTCTGGTCTTCTAACAAACGGACTAAAGGGACTATAAAGTCTAATTGAACGATCTTCTGTAATCAGCACCCAACACAGTGAAGTCATCCAATGGTCAATCCCAATCTCCACGGAATGCGAGGGGCTCATCTCATCTTCATCCGTTTATCCGGGATCGGGTCGCGGGGGTAGCTGGTCCAGCAGAGGACCCCAAACTTCCTTTTCTCTGGCCACATCTGCCAACTCTGACTGGGGGATCCCTAAGCGGTCCCAGGCCAGTGTGGAGATATAATCTGTCCACCTGGTCCTCCGTCTGCCCCGTGGCCTCCTCTCAGCTGGACGTGCCGGGAACACCTGGACTGCGAGGGGCGTCCCCGATAAATCCGCGGGGTCAGCGGTAGTCGAGAAGAAAAAAATCGTCTGTCCATTGTATATTCCTCTCTCCTCTGTGTCTCTCATCCTCTTCTCGCATCTCCTCGCATCCCTCCCACCAGAGACGGGAGCACCCACCCCCTCTGTAATCTGATTGGCCACCCCGTATGCCCCCCCACTGGTCATTGACTCGGGGTAATGTCAATCATAAATCAAATCAAAGCCGAAACCTTGTGTGTCTACACTGTGTTACTACTAATATACTTACAACTGTAAGGTTTTCATCGCGGGGTTTGCAGCTTTTCGATGATGTTCACGTCGCGTAATTACGTCACGTCATAACGTTCCCATGGCAACAGGGGAAAATGGCTGCTCTTGAGTGAAGTAAACGCAACATTTTTCAACTTTCTGTTAAGATAGATGTGACTTTTCTGCAACGAAAATGAATGGATTATGAAATCGAAAGTGCAGCGTATTTGAGAAAAATGCGGCCCCCGCATAAACATGCGGACTTTGGCTGATTATGCATTGAATTATACGATCGCATAATCGTGTTTTTCTGGAGGGACTGGAATGAACTCGTGTAACTTCACCAGTCACAGACTATTTTGCAACGTGATGCTCCTAGGTGCACCGAGGTAAGAACAGAACTCTACAGCTTCTTTAAGACTGTCACAACAATGTTTTGCCAACTTCTGTTCCATTTGGGTCTAATTTGGTTCCGTTTGTGTCGGTTTAACTGGAGTTGAATTAACTGGTGATACTGAGGCAGATGTGTGTAGGCGTGGCTTTTTAGGACCCCTTATTGCCGAACCAGGAAATAAAGATTCTGACTACTTCTATAACATTCATTTGTTGGTGACTTTTAAAACTCTGCAATAGAAACACTTTGCTGGAACAATAATGTTGGTGTCTGCTCCTCACTACGGAACTATTATTCACTGTCATGGTGACATTAACAGCTGCTGATCGCTACCGTTGTTTCAGTTCTGAGTCCTTCCCGAGTATAACGTTACATCGAAGAAAGACTTCTTTGGATATCGTATATTGTAATCATACAATGGCTTTACAATACATCTTAGAAACACTAACTATTTTAAATAATTTAAACACACCAAAATGTAATTGTTTATAAAGGCAACCACACGCTCGCACTATTGTAAAACCACATTAACGGAGTAGCTCGAGTTTGGATTAACCTGTGATATTATCCTGAGTGAGACTGGTTCAGATGATGAGCTCAATGCTCGTAGTTTCTCTTGTGAAAAAAAAAAAAAACCTTCACAAAAAACGTCTCTATAATGAATATTTATGTATTCCTCAGGAACCAGCAGGTTCTCAAATCTGTAAGAGTATAAAGTGAGGACTATAGGGAATGGCAATGTATGTGACATAACACTGATAACGTCAATAAAACGTCCAAAATCCTCATGTTACCGGTCTAGTGTCATAGTTGTTTTTAATGTGTCCAATTACATCCAGCCTATAAATGAATCAGTCTGAGTTTACGCTCCAAGCAGTGTGGAGAACTTTGTAGCTGTGGCAGAGTGCACATTCATTCATGCTACACTATTTACCGTCCATCGAGTTTAATATTAAAATCTAGACGTTTCGCTCACTCATCCCAATAGTCTACAAAATTCAGTTTAGTCTACATGTGCTGCACGTCACAACTCTGGATTTGAAAATAAAGTCATAATTATAAAATTGGTAAATACTGCACAATAAGACCTAAATGCATGTAAAACTGATTAAACAGAGTTATCGTTTGAGCAATAGCTTCACACACACATTTTAGAATTACTGGAGTTATTGTCAATAATTTAAACCCACCAAAATCAAATCCTTAGGCTACTTAAGCAACATACCAGCTCTGGTGTAGAAAACAAATGTACCCACATGTGATCATGGTGGACAAACTCAAGTTCAATATACAATGCAAGTCTTACATAGCAGCTAAATCGACCCATTTGTGACTGAAGGAAAGAAATGATTTGTAAGTAAGAGTTTGCTGACATGTACAGAATATCATTGTGATTAGTGAAATAAAAGTCTGTAGACTTTAAAAGGAAATAAGATCAATGAAAACAGCTGTTGTATCACAAGTTAATCTGGTCATATCATGCTTTGCCACAGCTAACTTCAAGATGGGTTTACATATTTACAGTCTTTATGAAAGTATAAACTGTTCTGAAAAGATTTTGACGTCAGTATAATATCAATGTATGAAGACAACAAAAACATTTTGTAAAGGATTTATTGGCATGACATGTACCTTATGTTAATGATTTGATTTTGGTGGGTCTAAATGCAAGTTAGAAATTAAGATAAGATAAGATATAAGATATTCCTTTATTTGTCCCACAATGGGGAAATTCCAATTCCAAATTACAGACATTATTTCTAAAATATGTTGTAAAGGTTTATGGTTACCATATATAATGACACAATTTAATCACATTTGACATGCTTTCAGGTTTTACTTTTGTGCAGCATTTACAAATGTGACTGTGACAAGATTACGCTTGATGATCCCTGTCCAAATTTACTTAAAAACCTAAAAAGAATTGACATGTGAATGAAACTCATACAGACTACCACCCCAACCCCGTACATGCACCTGTGCGTAGTTAACCAAACCTAGACGATTCTGTTCTGATCTTAGTTTGTACAGCTGGGCATCCAACTTCTGCCCCTATTGCAAAATAGGTAACAATATCTAATTTGGTTGAAAGACTTTGCTGACATGTATAGAATATAAATAAAAGATAAAGTCTGTAAACCTTATTATGAAACGTGATCAATGGTAGACAGATTGCATCACAAGTTAATCTGCTCATAATGCTTTGTCACAACTCTACTTCAAGATGGTATTAAACATATACTGACTGTTTCAATGTATAATACCACAATTCTATCACATCTTATAATCTCTGTGCCATTTATTCAAAATCCCATGTGAATCGGATTTGTATATCGTAGACCCTCTACTGATTAAAGTTTTAACATTATCCAATTTCTCTTCCTATTGCAAAATTAGATTTGACAGTTGTCTAATTTGGATGAAAGAGTGTGCTGTTATGTGTATAATATCATTGTGATTGGTGAGATAAAAGTGTAGACGCGACATGATCGATGGTAAAATGTTGTCACCAGTTGATCTGGGCGTACCACGCTTTGCCACAGCTGACTCCACACTGCGTTAAACATATACTGCAGACTGTATGTTTCCTTACACACTGTGTGACAGTATAAACTCTTCTCAAATAGACCTGACATCAGATTAATAAGGATTCGTAAAACGACAGAAAGAACATTTTTTTTAATTATTTATTGACATTTGCAGTGTTTGGAACAGGCATCGACACAGTCACCTACTGTGTCATTCTCTTCAAGCGTCCGGAGATCGCCGTCACAAATAAAATTGATTCAAACTCCAGGTACCTCCGTTAATCTTATTAGACATCAGAACTGGAGTGTTTACAATGTTAAGGATTTCATTCTGGTTGGTTAAAATTATGAAAAGAAGTCAATTCAGTCAGTATTTCTAGTGTACAGATCTGCATCAATGCTCGGGAATATCACCAGTTAATTCAACCACCAGTTAAACCGACACACCGTTTGCATGGGAAACTGTTCTTGTGTGTTTTACTTTAGTTTGCTCTCCATCTGGACAAACGTTAACATCTCTCCACTGTTTCAGTAACGTTAGCAATTACTAATTGCATCCGTTGTTTTGCGTTTTGTGACATGAACAACAACAGAGTATCCTATCATTGTTGCCACTGTGATGTTGGTACAGTACAAATAACATGTTGCTGTGTTCACTGTACAGAGCTAGAAGCACTAACTTGTTGCTAACTCTGTACAGCAAACCTGCTAGTGTTCTGTGTGTTACCACTTGGTAAGAGTACACCCAGCAGATTTAATGTGGCCAAGAAAAGCAAGATGAAAACAAACAGTGTGTAACTGTACAATATCAATTGAAGTGATGGCCCATATTGTAGTGGGCGATCAGTGGCAACTTTCATTTTTGTTACTTTTGGGCGGCCACCCCAGATTAATTGTTGTTACCCCCTGTGTCCCCCACCAGAAAATTCTCTGGACCCGCCCCTGCTTTGGATTCCACAGGTGTGGCGAATCCTGAATCAAGGCTCCACTGTGGAGAAGTGAGGTGATAAAAGAGGGAGGGAGACGCCGCATACTGGGACGCTTTCGGGAGCGAACTGCTGTATGGCACCTCTCCGGACTCGGAGGAGATCATGCTCTACTATGACGAGGTAACTGGTTTATCCAGGTAACTTCCAGGTTACCCTACAACAGGTGGATAAGTGTTCCCCGAGGTATGTTGTCATGGCAATTTACTCTCCATGTGTAAACTGCTGAGCAGGTTATCTTCGTGGTTAACTGCATGTGGCCCTATAAACCTCCTCTCTCACATATTGTGAGAGGCTCACACAGTGGCGGTTATATCTTGAATGACACCCTGGGCGAGACCCCTTCGAGCGATTACCTATTTTTGTTAGCCATTTCACACAATTCAGAAAAACAAAAATGTGCATGAACTATAGGCCTGTATTTATTATATTGTGATTGAAATGTTCGTTATTTAGAAGAAAGTCGAGGTGTGACTGACTTACAGTGGATCCCCTATCCCCCCCCCTTGTCCGTTCCATTAGTGAGACCCAGAGGTGAACTGTCCCCCTCCCCCCCTTCCCCTTCTCACACAGCTTCGGTGCAAGGCACCTTCTCGGCAAGCAGGGGCGCTTGCAGCTGTAGGGGGCACCAATTTGCCAATTCCCCCCACAGTGATATAATAGAACAGATAGATAATAGAAAACCTCTTCGTGGCGCAGAGGATTTTTTTTTGGTAAGTGCTTGTTAAGTGCTCGTGCCCTTAAAAGATTGCGGCGACTGGCTGCAAGACACAGGCAAAATGCGCAGGGAAAATGTCTAGCTGTTGCCTGATCCAAGAGCTGATTGGATCTTTGCTTCAACCACAAACACCATGTTTTATATAAAATCCTAAAGTACTGTGTGATTGTGATATTCAACACTAGATTGTAGGCTCTTCCTTATTATGTGCAATGAAAGTTTAATCTGTTAACAAACGCATCTTGTCTGGTTGATGACAAAGTTTATTTGTATCTGAACGTGGTCAGCAAACTACAGAAACTCTACAGATCTAACTGATGCAAACACTTCTGCGAATATATATATATATACACACACACACTGTCAATAGTGTATACCTGTATATTCTTCAAAGGCAAACTGTCATCATTCACACAGCTACACATTCACATCGCACCGCTGTCCCAATGCATTTCTCAACCCCGCTTTAGAGAATTGTACAGCAAGAGTTCATCTTATTCCACATTCCTACAGACTGTCACTTACCTCCCACCCACTGAGTGATTAGTCAAGTGCCAGGGAAACTGAAAAATAAATACAATTCTATCTCACATTTGCAGGTGACACTAGTCAAGTAGTATTTTGGTTGTATTGGAACTAATTAATTACATATTTTACAGTAAAGTAAAAGTGCTTTGGCAGTGTTATATATCTGAATAACACAAAATACAAAGTCATTATTTGATATGTATCTGCACAATGTAAGAACATATAGTAGGTAAGAAAAATTAAAACTCCAACTTCATTCTATAAAAAGCATAAAGCATGAGTTGGTATGTCCCAACTCAGAGTATTTACATGTCAATATTCATTTACATTTTAAGTGCCACTAATTGCTAAGCTTTCATTAATAATCAAAGTATCACAACTGTAGATGCCAAGTTACAGTTATGATTAAAAGAAAAGCAGTCGTGAGCTTTTATTTTGAAGGGTGAGTTTCATGGCTTCATGGGTGACGCCTTATTTATACTTTCAGTTGGCCTGACTGGTAATCCCCTAGTCCTGCTTTGTTTCTTTTTGGTCCGATTGCGATAGCTCTGTACATGAATCTTGTCTGTTGGCTGTTTCTAATGAAAAGTATGTGGAAGAGCAAATGTTATCTTGAATATACAGACACTGGTGTCGTCAGCAGAATTATGCTGATAACATGTTGGCTGAGTGTACTTGTGTGAGTTATATAATGTACTGTATATAAAGGCTGTTTCAGATGTCAACACTGGAAGAGAATAAAGTTCAGACACTTCACTCTTCCCATACATGTTAGTACTGTTTTCTGTTCTAACCAAATAAAGGAAGTGTCGTGCTGAAAATGGATCAGCATGTGACTTCTTGTAAGTGACATTTCCTTCTGTCAGTTCTGGATATAAATGTTATTTTAACAAAACAACAGTGCTGACAAGCTCAAGCTGTGGCATGATTGTTGTGATCTTCACATGTGGTGGAAAAAATACTTTTTGGTAAAATTATGTGTTTCTGCACTGTCATGGTCAACGGACCTTGGCCTACTCTGCATGTGATGAGGTTTGCACAGTGTGGAATTTCAGTGAAGAATTTTCCACAAATAAAGAAGTATGCAATAGATTTTCCTTGTGGCACTAAAGCAACCTCAATATTAGATTTTTAAAAAAAAATAGATTTAACCTTGCAAAATGTATTCAGAAAAAGATGAGTAAATTGTGATTTTTGTCTTGATGCAAAAATGATTGATCTTGTTACTGTTGACATTTGACACAAAGCTTTTCTTCTGAACTGTTACGAGAGTAAAGCCTGCAACTTGTTTTGCATCTCAACATTAGCTGAAAATGAAAGGTTTAGTTCAAATGTCAAACAATTTTTAGTTCCAACATGAAACCAAAAGAAGGATATGGATATAGGATATAGGGAGAAAATCAAATCTCAGTTCTTGTATATAGAGAGAAAAAAATTATGTTAATGTTAAATGTAAAACGTTAAAATGTACCTACCTATAGTGGTCTTCATCAGAGGGTGCTCTGGTGATGAAATTGACACTGAGATTAGTCAACTCCTGAAAATATGTGTGTGCTAGCTTATTGCCTTTGGGTATTCAACAATTAACCTTTTTTTGGTTTAGCACCAACAAAGTACTGGGGAGACGGTAACAGCTGAAATTGTGAAATGTGCCTTTAAGAGACTGTTGCCTAGAGATGAAGCAGACGACCACCCACCTCGGGAGCCATGAGAGTTACCACCGCATAGGCTGAACAATCTGGTGATGACTGGGAGGAAGACCGGGGTTCTTGAAGGCTGAGGCATGATGAATGACTGAGAGCAGGTGAGACAGCAGACAGCAGGTGAGGAGAATGGAGGCCGCACCCTCATCAGACACACAGGGAAGGAGGAGGAGCGAAGGGAGGAGGAGGGGAGTAGAGCCATGACACAAAATGACTACTTCAACTGTGGGTGTAACCTTATCTTTCGTTTAACATCACATTGCGATACTCATAAAAAACTGACTTCAGTGAAAACCTGAACCGTGTAACAGGGCTGTACACATGTTTATTTAGTATTGTGTGATATTTAGTTAAATGCGTTATTCAGTATGAGACATTTAAGAGTGGGTCTTTGTATGTGTTCAAGCACGACAAACTCATGTTCTTGTTTGCCCTTTGTTTTATATATTTTGTTATTGTTCTGCCCCCTTTGTTGTTTATTTCATTTTGCATTACATTTATTTCTCACATAAATGAAGCTAAACACTGGTAAAAACTGTAGTGAGTGTGCCACTCAAACATCAAAGCCATATCAGTTCAAGACTTAACATTGTACACACAAAGGCAGAAATATGCCTATCTAACTGAGAGAGTGAGGGAGAGAGAGAGAGAGAGAGAGAGATCTCTCTCACACTCCTGTCTGTTTTTCACAGGATGGTGTGGACTGCATGGCTTGGACTGTGTAAGACATTGTTTGTCATGGAGCACAAAGTGACCCCTGTAGTTGTGCACTGATTGGATTGTTGATAAGCAGTTGAGTTTTATGGCTGCACATTCTGCAGTGGAACAAGTTATAATGGAACATGTTTAATATATATTCTCTGTATTGTGCTGACTGAAGATGTTTTATGTCTCTTTTCCAACAGCTGTCCAGAAACCCAAGTGAAGGACGAGCAGTGACTAATATAGGTATGCGTGGTGATTGCGAGACTGCGTCAGCCTAGTTGGTCGTGTGTACATACAATTCTTCATTTTGCAAAAAGGTTTATTCTCTTATAACAAAAGAACAGCATGTGCATGACTACATGGTCAAAAACTGCGCTCATCCACCTTCACTGATGAGCTCACCTATATCATTCCCTGCAATATCACAAAAAATAAACAAATAATACATGCATAAAAATGACAGCAACAGTATGTATACCAGTAACCAGTTTATGATTTATGTTTATGAGTTATTATGGCCCCTTGTTGACAAGCTATAATCAACAATGGATGCCTTATGTTTTCAAGTTTAATATGATACCAGAATCTTCACTCTAGCTTTAAAACTGAGCCCTCTACAGCTTCTAAAAGACTAATGTTGGTTACAGACATCCTAGTGCAGTTTAACAGCCTTGAATATGTACAGTATAACAGCAAAATGGGGAGATAAGAAAAAGGCTTACCCTTGTAAACCATCTCTCTGTGACAGACTGCTGTGAGGGGAAAATATAAATGGTAAATGGACTGTATTTATATAGCGCCTTTATAGTCTTTTGACCACTCTGTACACTACATGCCACACTCTCCCCATTCACACACATTCACTCAATGATGGAAAATCCTATCAAATAGAAACTAACGCATTCATACACATTAACACACTGATGCACAGCATCAGGAGCAATTCGGGGTTCAGTATCTTGCTCAAGGATACTTCGACACGGCGGCAGGAAGTGCCGGGAAATGAACCCACAACCTTCCGATAAGGGGACGACCCGTCCTCAATGTAATGTGCGTTAGTTATAACAATTAACTAACAATTATTCAAAATATTATTGAAATCACAATATGCAAATTTCAGAAGCTGCAATTAGTTTGATAAAGGTCAAATATGTTGTATATAATTATAATAAGATGTCTCAAGATTTAAGAAAACATGTTTGGTACAGACCCCAACTAATGTCACATCATCATAATTTTAATAGATTTCTTTCAATGAAAATTAAATTTGTGATGCAAATATTGTCATCTCCTGCACTAATAGTAAATTATATTGCAATAGTAATATCTATCAAAGTAATCACAATACAACACCATATAGTGCAGCCCTAGTTAGTTTCAGATGTCTCCTTTCATTTAGGATCTCTTAGACCATTGTGCACTCCTACACTGTGATATGAGATGAAGAAGAGGAAACTGAAATCTTTCTTCTTTAGGAATTTCCCATTTCATTATTTATGGACTTTGGGTTCTTCTTTTTATGGGGAAGCAGTTCATTAGCAATTTCCGCCTTTGTGCATACAATGTTAAGTCTTGAACTTGAGTTTATTTTTTATGCATTTGTCTTCTTGTAGTCCATTATGAGCACATAACTTCCATAATCCCAACAGCATGTATATATGGCATACTCCTTCATTCTGCAGGCACAACAGGGGAAATATCACAAACAAATGCAGTTGTGTTCCACACAGTGAGTAACAGCCCCAGTTCACAAGCCTCCAATGTTCTTCAGTCCATTGTGTAACCAAAAGTTTTTCCCCTGCAAACAGCAAATCTGTTGTTTACAGATAGGAAGGAATTAGGGCTGCATAGTTAATTGAAATATTATCGAAATCACTATGTACCATATGCACATTGCAGAAGCTGCAGTTGGTTTGGTAAAGGTAAAATGTTTGTCAAATCAGCATTATGTTAAAGTACTGTATAGTTCAGAAAAGATACCCTACAAATCTTGTTGTAAGAAAACATGTCTGTTTGATGGTGATTTTTGTGTTGTGAGGCAGCCAACTCAGAGTTACACTGCAACATTAAAGGATCATTGTACCGAGGGAGGCCTAGATGAACAATTGTTCGTCTATGTATTTGATGGTGTATAAGGCAAGGCACTCTTAAAGTCTGGGAGAGAACAACCATGCTGAGGTCTTCTCTCCATGCTGCATGAAGTAAAGAGACTTGATTCATCACACTGGGTCTGTAACTAGCAACTATCACTATTTAGAAGAATTTCTTAAACAATAGTTGAGGGACATTCATTCAAAGATAGTGAATTAAGAGTATGCTTTGTGGCAAAGGCACCATACTCTTCAGAATTGACTTGATAACTATAAACTCCAGAGAAATGTGAATATTATGTTTGTCAATTTATATTATTCACTGTTTACATTCAAAAGTTGGTTTAAAGTTTTTATCTTGTTCACAAAAGAGTAGCATTGTTCCACACGAGAGCCCTTCACAATAAAATGTTAGGCCTATGATTCATCCCTTGTACAGATCATAATCTTCTACTGCACATTACAAATATTCTTTATACTTAATACTGTGATCTTCTGCACATTCCTGCACAAAGGTCCTTCATTTAAATGAACAGCCATATTGTACATACTGTCTATTATTGTCTTTATAATATTGTATCATAACTGTTAATTTTCTGTGCTTTCTATTCATGCTTCTTGATGTACACTCCTTGATTTCCTTGTCCTGTGTTTATTGTTATGCACCAAAGAAATTCAAAGATTATGTGAAAACCTTCTAGGCAACAAAACTCTGAATCTTATCATTCTTAACTTTCAGAATCTGGGACTGATGAACAATGCAAATGTTTCAATGATATTCCTAAAGGCTGCAATAATACAAAGCCCAAAATGAGGAGTAACTGTAACTATGTTACACTACTAACTTCACTTTGATCATTTTAATACAAAAATGTTTATGTATACACATTACAATGTCATTCACACAGGACCACAACTTCATAAGTAGATTTTGGAACAGTAGCTTCAAAAATACTGCAAAGTTAAAAACATAGAAGCAAGTTATTGCAAAAGATGAAAACAGGACAGTCACTTAGATGTTGATGTGCGTCCTTGTACAAGTGATAAATGTGCACACATACTATCAGAGGTAACAACAAAACTGTTCAAAGGAAAATCGTTCATCAAACCAGGTGCTGCAGCAAAAACACCCCTGCTCCCATTTATTTTGAACGTGGTTAGGCGAAGAACCCATGTGTCCCAACATGTTACAGTTCAGGACACATAGTACCCATCCAGTGGATACTTTGAGGGATGATCAAAGAGTTTTGATGTCTCCAGTCAGGATGCTTTCTATTGCTCCTCTGTAGAAGTTAATGACAACTTGGCACAGGCATTTTCTGAAGTTTCAGAAAGAAATGTAGTCCTTTCTGTGATTTCCTCATGAGAGTGATGGGTAACATGTTTCTGTTCTCTCTACATCACATTCCTTTGCATGTTGTTTATCAGAAAAAAAAAAAATAATAATAATGACATCATTTCATTAATTATAAGAAAAATCATTACTCCTTACTATTGTACACAGTATACTCAGTAATAACAGTAAAGAGAGTATAAAACATACCTGGGTGGATATGTCTGCATTCATTCCTGTAATAAAACATAACCAATGAAAATT